GTTTAATGAAATTGACCACAGTGAGCAGATTTGGCCATTAGCTCGGCGAGGGCCTATAATCACTACAAGTTGTTTCCCTCTTTCGTGCACTGGGTTATTGAACTCTGTGGGGGAAAGTGTAGTGTGTACCTGCCATGGCGACTCGACCTCCCCTTTTATTCCCCTCTGCAACGCTGCTTTTTGGAGACGATCGATTCACTGGCTTGAAAATAACAAACCAGCAGTGAGCAGGCTATTAAACTGGATTAGGGGAGAAAAGTATAAAAAGCAAGTATGAAGTGTGCCCTGAAATAATTATGAGCTACTGTATACTGTGTATTAGTGGGAGGAAGAGTCGAGTTGTGCTCTAATGGCGATCGTACTGTCACTGTATTTTGTTATAGTATAGTAGTTAAAGGTCCTATATTACGCAAAATTGACTCCTGAGCTTTAAGCCATGGATCTATGTTTTATTTCTTTCACACATGAGTAATCCTTTATTATTAGTCTGTTTACATTTACAAACCTCAAAACGCTCTGTGCCACCTTGTGATGTCATGAAGTGATAGTTTTCAAGTTAACGGTTACCTTTTACCTTTAGTACGGTAGAGGCGAGTCCAGAGCTGAAATCATCCAAATGATTCTAGTGAAGATGTGTGGAGTTTAAGAACGGCTTCAGTTTCTGTTTGAGAGAAGAACTCACCCAGAATATGCAACATTTGTGTGTTAAACATGTTTAAATGAAACAAAACACAATTCCAGGTAAGTTTTTAATGAGGAAACAATATTATAACATAGATCAAAGAATAGCTTAATAGTGGCACATGGAGCTACATCAATTTACGATTTTCAATTTTCAGATGTAATTTAATATTTTTCAAATATAGTTTCAGTTAGTTCACTTAAAATATTTGTTTTAAGACATTGCATGAAAACCTAAAGTAAGACTTTCATAGAATACTGCTCAAGCAACCTAGTTTGTCTTAATAAAAACAACACATGAAAAGAAGACATAATGAATTGTATTAGTAGGTGTATTACCCAAGGACAAATCTGTGAACTTGTGCCTGGATTTGAATCATCAATCATTCATATCCCATTCTCAGACAATAACTCGGCTTGTCATAATATCTATTTTACTTTTGTTAAAATCAAAGTCCAGGAGATGGATCCATATCGTGACATGATTCATATTTTTTAATATCAATAAAAACAGTGCTAAAAATAAGTGGATTCTTCCCAGCCCTTGAGTCTCACACTCCAGACTGGGCCCCGTCTGCTTGCATTAGCCCTTATCATATTAGTAGTGTCAAGGATCTGTAGTGACGGCCTGTGATGGCCATGCTCGATGACAGCTGTCAGACCATCACGGCTGAGTCCTCACCACCGATTTCAGCTACGTACATCAGCTTGACCCCCCTCCTCACACACACACACACACACACAAACACACACACACAAACACCCAACTTGTTGATTATTATCTTAAGCAGGTTGGAAAGGCGTCTCGTCCAGCTAATGACACTTGCCACGATTGGCGGACATGGACACAGGACAGGGCCTATCAGTCAGATCCATGCTGTTTAGCCGTTAGCCGTGTGGCGTTGCGAGGGTGTGAAGCCGTGGTTGTCCTTGTGCTGGGGTCAGCGCTGTGGACCTGGTGCCAGAGATTCACTGTGAGGTCACTAACACAGGAAGTGCTCCCCCTGTGGGCCCAACTGCTCGTACTGCAGGAGGGCGCGGTGCAAAATGACCTTCAGTGTGGATTCTGTCACTGTGCCCATATATAGGGATTGTTTTTATTTGTATGTGTGTGGCTTAGACTTTTCACTGTTTAAATCTGCTACTGCTGTTTGCCTTTTAGAGTTTGACTGAGTTCACAGAGGGGTTTGTAGATTAAGTAGATCTTGAATATTTGAATAGGCATGGATTTCTGATTCAACTGAGGAATCTTTTGACATATTTATACAATAGAACAATACAAGAAACAAACACATTTTAGGTCAATATAAAGTTGAAGTCCTGTATAAATTCAGTATAGTTTACCATGATGAATATTATGAAATTCTAGCATAATCTAGTCATGAACTGCAATATATTTTGATCTACTTTTCTTATTTAAAACAAAAATGGGTGAGACTTTATAAATTAAATATTTTTCATTTTTATGTAGCACATGTAAACACAACACAGTCAAAACAGCACAAATGAGCAATTGGAATACCCATATTGCAGCATGTCTACTGAAAAATTACTTGGCAAAATGTATATATTTTTTTTAACAATAGACTTATTTTTGCACTAATGATAACACTAACACTAAAGCCAACAACACCAGATCTTATTTGGTCTCTGTTTCAAAAGCTTATTTCTCCATCAAAAGTCTGAGAAGTCAATATTTGCTGTTGTCTGCAGAAATTGTGTGTGCATTTGTTCACACAAGTTGCCAAAGGTTGCGTTAAGAAAGCCCTAGTTTTTCAGAGTTTGCTGCAGAAATATTGAACCTCAAAAAAAGGGGTGAAGGTCAAGAAGATTTTGATATTAGAATTTAAAGGAGCATTTAACTTTTCTTGAGGAGAGTCCGTCAAATCCTTTTCTCCATGGAGATGTTATTGCTTTGTCTGGAATGTTTCACAGCAGAGGTGGGACATGCAAGTCGTGACTTGGAGTCAAGTCAGACTCGAGCCACTACTTTAAGGACTTAAGACTTGACTTGATAAAATGGACGAAGACTTGGGATTTGACTTGGACTTGAAGGTCAGTGATTTTGCCTGTGACTTGAGAAGACTTGATGCCTCTGCTAAAAATATATGTTTTTAGAAAATACTTTTCTCTCTACAGTTGAATAATGCGGTGCTTAACTTTACAGGAACAAACTGGAACACATCCCTCCCACTTCTGTTTGTTACTTTGGATGTAACTGAAGTATTGTGATACGGTATCCTCAAAAGTACTACAGTAATATACAGTACATTACAGTAAAACAGAGGGAACTATATAAAACATGATCCTTCCATTTCAGACTACATGACAAAATAACTGTTATAAATCTTATTTCTTTCTATTCTGACTGTAATGATTCACACAAGATCTAAAGACTTGAGCCCGACCGATATATCGGCTGGCCGATATTATCGGCCAATATGGGCACCTGGAGACATATCGGCTATCGGCCGATATGCTTGCTGATATGGGCCGATATTTCACGTGGGCATGTTATACCTCGTTATAAAGCTTAGACTCTCTACATTATGTTCATTTAATCCAATTTACAGACAGATAAATGCCCTAATATGTGGCTCCGCATCAGTATTTATCTGGGGTGTAATTTGTCTGTGTCCATACTGTCCCTGAACACACCACCAGAGTGACGTCACTTCACTCGTGTGTGTTTGTTTACACCCGCAGCCGTGCGCAACATTGAGATTATATTCTTTTTCGGACAATCGGTTTGGGTCTGGATTAAAAGGACATTTATTAGTGCAGACTTGTGATGTGAGGAGGAGCCTGTGTGAGCGGTGAGTGTTGGAAATACATGGACTTTGAAGCTAGTTTAGGTTTTGTTAGCGGTTAGCTGCTGTAGCTCCCACACATAAACAGGCTGTTTTCTATTGGTCTATTGTAAAGTGACTACATTGGCCGTATATTTGTTACTGGACCTGCATTGATATGTAAATGAGCTGTGAATAGAGTGTGAATGATCCACATTTATGCATATAATTAACTACCGCGGTGCGCAGCATTTACGGCTAAAGGCTAATAGCGGTAGTTTACTAGCTAGGAGTTATGGGTCGGTCGCGATCGAAGTGGCTCTTAGAGCGAACAACGGGAGCCTGCTTCTTATTGGGAGCCGTGTTTTCTCTTTTTCTCGCTTTTTCTCTTCATGCCGCATGTAGACCCGTAGTTTGACAGCAGCAGCGGCTGAAAACGAAACTTTCAGAAATCTGCGTGTGCATAGGATAAAAAAAAAAGTGCATATTTGGCTGCAGTTCAGCATAAAATGAACAAACCAGGACTAATCTTGGGCTCGAGTGCAGGAGAGAGATGGAAACTGAGTCCCGACACTCAGTCCTGGTTCAGTTCTGGTTTAGTCCTGCTTGCAACAAAACAATCTCAAGAGTCGCTTGGGAGCCGTAAGAGCCAGCTGCTTTAGTGAGCCGAGCCAAAAGAGCCGGTTCTCCAAAAAAAAAAAAAAAAAAAAAAAAAAAAAACTGGAATACCCATCACTAGTAGCTAGAATGTGATGCAAAAATGCCATTAGGCCAATCTACTGTATGTAAATATGATGTAAAGAGTCAAAATAACAATAAATGTTGCCTAAATAAACCCAATTTAGAATCCACTAGAGCCAAACCTAAGTTTTTTAATCAATTCAAGATTTACAGTGAATTTTTACATCACTAAATATATCGGTGACTATATCGGCTATCGGCAGCTTCAACTCCCATTATATCGGTCTCATATCGGCCACAACAAAATCCATATCGGTCGGGCTCTACTTAAGACATTTAAAATGGAAAAAAATGCATTTCTACAACTCTACATATAAATATATCATGACTTTTTAAGTACAATTTAGTTTAAAATTCATATAAATTGCAAAAATCTAAGCTATATTTGGTACTTTTTTGGTTTAAAGACTTGACATGACTTGAAGCTCAAAGCAGATGACTTGGACTTGACTTGGACTTACCTGTATTTGACTTGGGACTTGACGCAGACTTGAGGTCAAAGACTTGAGACTTAGTTGAGACTTGCAAAACAACCACTCTGTTTCACAGTAATACTTTCTATCTTTATGGAAACCAGACCAGACCAAGTTACAGGTTTAATGTCATACTGTGGAACATTCCAGGCAGAACAAGAACATAACCTTACAAACAAGCAGGTGACGGCCCCCCAACCAAAGTTATATGGTCCACCTTTAAGCTCAACAAAACTGAGTTCAGAGTATGTCTTGCCCATCCCAAAACAACGTGCATTCTCTTACCCATTTCTTTTCTGTTGTCCTTGTGTTACAGTCCATCAGAGAGGTGACGGGCTATGTGTTGGTGGCTCTGAACCAGTTTGACTACCTGCCCCTGGAAAACCTGAGGATCATCCGAGGAACCAAACTCTATGAAGATCGCTACTCTCTGGCTATTTTCCTCAACTACAGGAGAGACGGGAACTTTGGTCTGCGCCAGCTGGGCCTCAAAAACCTCACAGGTAAAGTCTTGATGTTTTGTCTAATATACAAGGACTTTACACACTATTTCTATCTTTGTAACTCTCATGATTATTGTGAGTCGAAGTGAATAAATACTTCCTGTACGATACAATGTTTCAAATAAGGAGTAGTAAGTAAAATTAGTAGGAGTACTATGTAGTGGTGGTAGAAGTGATTGTGTAAGTGAAAGAGATAATATTTACAGCAGTAGTAAGTTATTTTTCTGATTGACAGATATATAATTCATACGACTTTTAGTAAGGCCATGCTGATGAATCACAATGGAACAACATGCATTCACATCGTTATCACTTCTTTACTTTCCCCATACTCCATATTGTATGATCTCATTAGATGTTGAAACAGTATTCGTAAAGAGACTGACGATGAATGCTGGCAAACAGTGAAGTGTGTGGGCTTTTGTCTAAGGAGTAAACTGTTGAGCTGCTGCATTCCCTCTGAGCTCCCTGACCCCAAAGTCAGATCCAAATGAAGCTCTTGACTTGCAAAAGACATGTAAAGCTTTTCCACTACAGGGCTAAGTGGGCCGAGACAGGCCAGGGCCAGCTCATTATGCGTGCAACTCCAGCAACAGCACACAAGCTACTGGGACAAGTTTACAGTGTGGTCAAAGAAAAAAAATATTTACAGATTGAATTCCTCTTTAATAAGTTATGTTGTTGACCTCATGGTGTGAACATAGATTTTTTCTGATCACAGAACCAAGTTTGAAAGGTTGCATCAGCTGCACTGCTCAAAGGATGGGTCAAATGCAAGAAATGAATTCCCTCACAAAGGATTTTAAAATATACTAATAGTACTGTGTAGCCTAATAACCAAAGAAGAAATAGAAGATCATAGGCTAAAACACGCTGTGACAATAGAAAAGAACACCAACTTTGCACAATGCCATTTGCTTGTCTCAAATCTGCACATCATTCAAGAGCCAGACTTTATTTAGATTTGTAAGGAGCAGCATGGCACCAAGGCTGTGTGCTGCGTCCAAACTCTTTGTAAATAATTCAGACTTGTCTCATTGTTCTGTTGAAGCGCTCCTTCCTGGCCCTTCCCCAGAGCCGGAGCAAACGCCACAGCCACACTGAGCCTTCAGACTGCTGCTTTTGTCTCATGCTCCATCTTGTTTTCTTTCTTGTGCCGTGCTCTTGGATTCGCATATGCCCACCACCAGCAGCAGACACACTGCCAAGTCGGGTTTGTGGAGGGCGCAGGGGGCGAGCGTTTGATCTGCTATTAATGGCCTTGAGCGATCAAGTCTAGGGGAAGTTGTGCACTACCGCCATGGCCCCAGTACTTTCACTTTAGTTTCATAAAATGCGTGTTAAAAGTTTTATTAAGTTGCTAACAATATTTCAGTCATGTGACATTAAAAATGTACTGGACCAGCTACGTTCCGGCAGGGGCATTGACCTTCTTATGTCCAGAGAAAGGTTTGATGCTTGATATGTTGCCGTGGGCGACACATCTATTTTGTTTTGTCAGAATATCCGCAGGACAAAAATGTGCTCATAATGATAATGGAGATGAATCTGAAGTTTGAAAATGACTTGCACAGTGAACTCTTTGACTGTGTCTGTGTTTAATCATGCTGCTGTCGGAAATGGGCCTCTCAGTCCTACACTATTCTTTATTTCCTTTTTTCCCTCCGTTCTCTTGACCGCAATTTAGATTAGGTCTAATAATTGTACAGCCTATTTTGGATGTAGAAATGTGTTCAGTCCTCAGACCTCGACCTCAATTAAAGGTATTTGGCTTCTCAACATTACTCTTAAAATGAGTGTCTGGAATTGAAATGATGTTATTATGTTTTGTATGTTTGTCTAAATGCTAAAGATGTACTGTAGATTAAAACACCGTATAGGTTCTATAGTGTCTGTCAGTGAAATGTTGTAATGAAGTAGTTTCCAATATCAATTATAAAGGGACACTTTAAGATGTGGATTAAAACAGAGGTGCCCAAACTTTTTTCCTCAGTGGACTATAATGAATACATATTAGTGCCAACCTATTAATGTTTTTAGTTTGCCTGCAAAGATATTTCTGATGAAATTGCATTCATTTATTCTCCTTAAACTGGTATGTGGTGCCTTTCATTTCCAAACATTCTTTTCAGTGCAAAATTAAGTCAAAATAGATACTTCTCAGTAACCCTCCCTCCTATACTGTCCAAAACATGTTCAATAATCTGCAATTTCTATAATGGCAATGTGAGAGTAAATGAGTGTGAATCTGTCACTGTATGCGTAAAAATTGCTTATAGTGGCCATGGGAGAGTTCCCATGTTGTTGTATACCTTGTATAATGGTATAAAGCACTTTACACTTCCCATAAAAACCTGAGCTACCATTATCAGCAGAGTTCTAGAGCGTCAGTATGTATTCTACCAACAGCATAACCGCTTTTATCTCTATAAGAAAATGCGCAATACAATTTCTATTGATCCCAGTGTAAAGCTGTTGTTGCATCAAGCTTCTATACCTCCAGGTTTATCCTCCATTACACTATGATTTCACTGTCATATTAGTCCATTGTCCCCCGTCAGCAGCTGGTGGGACAAGCCTAAAATGATCAATACAGATCCATAAGCAGCACATATAAGAGGATAAATCGCATTAAATACATATGGGGCTAATCGGGAGTGGTAGCACTAAAGGACCTCGCTAAGGCCTGAAAGCCACCCACGTTCTGCTCCGGTCGAAATTGCTTGGGATGAAATCAATTTGTCGCTAGTGTATTGTAGCATTGCACTTATTGATTTTCCCCGGCTCGCTCTCTGCCAGCTGTGAATGGACTTGGTGGATTTGGGTGTAGCGCGGGGTGAATGTTGGAGGTGGTCTGAGGAAGAGAGGGATAGGACGCTCTCCGATGCACCTTTCAATCAAGCTTAGCCAAGTTATCCTCATGAATATGAATTATAAGGGACTGGCGAGTTAGTGGGAGAGTAGAGGATTGGTTTATTTGTGATGCGAATTCGAAATGTGATGGATTCTTTAAGTTTGAGAAGTAGTGTTTGGTTGGTTTTATATATCAGTGTTAGTCAACAAACTTTGGTATCTATACATTTTCAAACTTGATTTTGATATTAAGGAAAATGCCAAATATTTAATACCAATTTTGATACCACAGTAGCACTAGTTCTTATAGATTAAAACTATTCACTGTGCTGAAAAAGTTCAACTTTGTACTTTTTATGGGTTTCTGCTTTCTGTTTTATGATGCCATTTTGAGGACAGTTGACCATTCAAAACATATAATATTTTGTTTTCTTACTTTTCATCATTCTCAAATCTATACATAAATCTTTGTTTTTCTTTCTTTTTAAAGGTATTGATACTTGCTTAAATACTCTTGATTTGTATCTAGTATCTAGTTGTGACTACCTTGTGTTCTGTCTGAATTTGAAGAGCAAGTTCTCTTGGATGGTGATTTTTTTTGTTAAGCCATGTTTTAACAAAAATCAACTATTAACTTAATTGTTCCAGTGCCTTTCTGTGCGACCAATAGATTCTAGAACCTTTGCATCTTTGGTTCTAGTCTCAGTTTGGCCTTAAGTTTGCATTAATGAATGTAATGCTCCAGACCATCTCCTGCTTTCTAGCTAAAAGGTTAACGCAGACCTCCTTGTGACATTTTCAAACTCCTAAATCTGTATTTTGCCGAACAGTGACCCGCGGTGTCTTCCTTGCTGTCTGTGCCAACGTCGTTCGCATTTCGTCTGGATCCTTCTGAACCCCGGGCAGCCTGTGTACTTTCACATGGTAATTACAGCCCTGCATTCCTGGCAAAATAATAACCGCGTAGACTCAGTGGCACAAGATGAGCTTTTCTCATTTAGTGCACTTTGTCGTCAACCCTCCCTCTTCTAAAAGGGCTCTAAGATTTGCGGGGGGGGAAATCTAGTCTAAAATATGAATCAAATTTTGCAGAAGGTATTGTGAGTTTAAAAAGTAGAGTGTACATTATTAACAACTGCGGAAGGGTTAATGTTTGAGAGAGGACTGAAATATGAACTGATGAACTATCATAAGTATCTCGTCTATGTACAGCTTGATTTTTCTGAAACACTTTGTAATAACTGCACTTTAATTAGCCTTAAAGGTCCTATATTATGTAAAATTCACTTTTAGCTATGTTATAATGTTGTTATTTCTTCAAAAACATACCTGGAGTTGTGTTTTGTTTCATTCACACGCTTGAGTAATCCTTTATTACTGCCATATTTTTTGGACTATAAGTCGCTCTGGAGTATAAGTCGCACCAGCCAAAAAATGCGTAATGAAGAAGAAAAACATATATAAGGCACACTTTTTGGTGGAAATTGATTTTATAAAATCAGAGACCAGGAACCAACATTTCATCTTGAAGGGCAAATTATAGTAATAACAATAGAATAGAGAACAACAGGGTGTTAACGTAACATATGAACAGTTCTTCAGATAACTATAGCATAAACAACAGAACAGAACAAGGTTACCAAATTCTCCATCTCACTCCAAATCACTAAATTCATTGAATTCTTCATCCCCGGTGTCACTTCTGATCAACTCCGAGACCTCCGGAGGTAAATGGAAGCTTCCTCTTCTGTGTAGCTGTCATCAGATTCAGCATCAGTTCCAGTTAGAATTATTCCGGCCTTTCTGAATCCTGACATAATGGTTACAGTTTTCGCTGAAGTCCAGGCTTTGTTGAGCCATCCAGTGGCTTCCAGCAAAGTTGTATGGCCCACCCACCTGGTTACCATGAAGCTGTGTTCTCCATCCCCACTTTCCGCCAGTCCCTCACAAGTTTCTCGCTCACTCCAAACTTTCGTTCTGCTGCTTGATTACCATTTTCGGGCTGCATATTTTGCTACTTGCAGCAGGGCAGATGCAGGAGACATGTGCATTAGGACACCAAGTGACAGTGGTACAGGAGAAGTAATAGGAGTAGCAGTCTATGATACTGGCACGCAAGCACAGAGCCTCTCGCGGCTGTCATTGTT